AATATGTTATTGTTAAGTTAAAAGACGATTTTAGATCCTAATGTTTTATAAGTTTTATAATGATAATAAATACTATATTTTTTTTAGTAAGAAAATATGCTCTAAAAGTCATTATTTTATATTGAATAAGGTGAAGTAGCATTTATAAGAAAAAGTAATCAGACAAAGTATACAAATTATTTCTAACGATCATTATTTATTGTGATTAACCAATTTAAATATTCAAATGAATGTTTTATACCTTAACATATCAAAAGTTGTTGTCTTAGAACTCACATTCCGTTAAAAGTGTATAAAAGCATGAAGAGTAGCATAACAAAAGATAAAGATCCCGAATTTCATGAAAAAAAAAACATTGAAAAAGGACTACATTCTCACTTGACTAAAAAAATACTTGGATTTGAGTCTGGAGAGACTTGTCTGTAAAAGAATACTTGAGTTTGAATTTAAAGAAACTTGTCTGTAAAAGAATACTTGAGTTTGAGCTTGGAGAGACTTATCTATAAAAGAATACTTGGGTTTGAGTCTGGAGAGGCTTGTCTGTAAAAGAATACTTGGGTTTGAGCTTAAAAGAGACTTGTATGTAAAAGAATACTTGGGTTTGATCTTGGAGAGACTTATCTGTAAAAGAATACTTGGATTTGAGCCTAGAGAGTGATGGAATCATGCCTAGGAAAGCAAGAGGTGACACATTGAAGGAGCCAAGAGGAGTTGGCTAGACATGAAGGTTTGGGTCAGTCAAGGCCCAATGGGCCCGATGGGCTTGGAAGGCCCAAGTTGAGCTTCACATGGGCCACATCTTGTTATAGCTATTTCCTTATGGTTTGTATATATAATGTTAGTATAGGTATCATATATTTTGGTCTTGTATTTTGGACCACATAAAGTAGCATTTTTTTGGCTTTAGGCTTAATTGGGCCTAGTTTTGGGCTTTATGGGCCTTTGGGCTTTTGGTACCCAATAATGGGCTCATTTTCATTCTTGTAATTTTTCCTTTTCCATTGTATTTGATTGGCTATTGTAATTAGGTTTAATTTGGAAGTCATTTAAGTTACATTTGAGTCACATGTTTAACACCTTTGGTGGCTGAACATGTGCCACTCAAATTAACCCTAAATGGCACTCAAATCAAACTTAGATGCATCATAGCACCTAAACTCACGGCCAAGCACACGGGAGCCAAAATTTGAATTCAAATTTCAAGTTTGAATTCAAATGAGCTCAAACCCAAGTATTCTTTTACAGACAAGCCTCTCCAGACTCAAACCCAAGTATTCTTTTATAGATAAGTCTCTCCAAGCTCAAACTCAAGTATTCTTTTACAGACAAGTTTCTTTAAATTCAAACTCAAGTATTCTTTTACAGACAAGTCTCTCCAGACTCAAATCCAAGTATTTTTTTAGTCAAGTGAGAATGTAGTCCTTTTTCAATGTTTTTTTTTTCATGAAATTCGGGATCAGGCAAAAGAAAAGATCAAAAGAAAAATGTCCACTAGGGAACACATCTCAAGTGACCTAGGCAAAATTTAGGACGTTAAAGCAGCAACCTGAGTAGAAAAACGAAAGGCGGCACAAAGAAATCATCCAATTAGAGTACGACCCCGAGTCATCACTTCACTTTCCAAAAAAGCTAAACACAATGATAGCTTCTTTGTAGCAAATATGTTTTGTTTAATAGCCATAAACACTAAAGCCCACCTTGGCCGACCATTCTTCTAAAAAACCCTTTTGAAAAAAAACACTCATTCTAACAACCCTTCTGAAAAAATACAAACATCACATTTCTTCTTTTCTCTTGACCCTTATGGCATTAAAATGGTACTGAAAAGATACACGGAAAATGCACAGTGAATACTCACAGAGGGAAGGCCGAGATGTCCTCAAACAGAGGTTAGAGGCGCTTAACCACACATCGATTGGATAGTCAAGGAGCCACTGAAGCTTGGGCTCAAAAGAACATATCCCGACAGTAATCAAGATTGACATGGATAGAAAGAAATCGTCAACATTAACCTTAATGCGTACAGGTTAATTTCCCGACATACAAAAAATGAATTGCATCTTTAGGAACAAAGACATGAGCATAAACTGCATCGCATGCATATGAGTTAGGGGCATATGGAAGGGCGTTACACAAAAAAGAAATAAAAGAATCATTCTTGTCGTGCATTTTCATTGCATCCATGCATCCATGCATTCTACTTGCTTTAGCCTTTAAAATGGCTACTATAATTACCACTAAAAAAAATAAGTTTTCCCGATAATTTAGTAAGTATTTACCAGCATTTTATATAAATGTCGGTAATAATATTAGCGACTTTGGATACACCATCCATTATTTAAATGTTGGTAAAAAAAATAATGGCCATTTATATGGCTGTTAAAAAATAAACTAATTGTTAAAAAAAAACTAATTTTGGTGTAGTGAATCTATCATAACAAATATGAGAAAAGGAAGAAATTAAAATATCAAATGAGAAATGAAAAGTAGAAAAGAGATTGAATGATAATGAAAATAAGGTAAAGAAAAGGATTGAGAATAGCATACTGGAGGTAAGTGATGAACTTTATGCATCTTAACAATTAATTCTACAATTTCTTCCATTTAAGTTGAAAATATTAATGGGATAAACAATTTATCTGTTTTGCATTATTTTTTAAAAATTAAATAACATTCTTTATCTAAGATGTTTAAATTCATTATTTTAAATTTCAATTAAGAATATAACATGTTCAAAATCTTTCTTCTTTAGGCAACATACATTTGAATTGCAACCTATACATTCTTACTAATATAGTTTTTAGAATTTAACTGGAATTAAAGTAGAAGCTATTATTAAAAATCTAGTTCCAACTATGTATAAAATAATGGGCAATATGGCAAGTAAAAGAATAAGTGTAAACTAATGCATTGATTCTTGAGAGACAATTCATTTTTAGTTTGAGATAGTTTTGATATGGAAACTCTTTGTTTTTTTTTTCTCACTTGAATTCCCTATTATATAGAGTTTTTGAGGTTTTTCCCCTTTTTACTAATGCAATATAAGTCATTTCAAGAAAAGTTTTCATTCTCCTTATACAATACATCCTATGTGTAACGCCATGAAAATATCGAGCTATTTAGTAGATATACTTATATATATATATATATGTAAATATATGTATGTAAGTATGTATATGTTGTCTATATAGATTTGGATTGGATTATGGAGGTGTGGATTTGAAATGTACTTATCTTTGTGCATGTTGTATAATTATGTGGTTTTGATTAGTTGTTTGGACATAGTGATTTTGTAGTATGAGATGAGAGGTTTATATAGGAATGTGTATCATGAATGTGGTGAATGATGCATTGTACACCATTATACTAAATTGGTACTAAGAGGAAAAAAACTGATCACCTTCCTTCTCATCTTAGTTAAGTGAAGTATTATGGCATGCAACTCATTATTCCAAGCATATGTATCTGAAGGTGATGTTTGTTTAAGTGTTGATATAAATATATATAGATTGCATTTCATATGGTGGTGAGTTATGAGTATTGTATAGAAAGTAATAGGATGGGTAGGAGATTGAAGGATGGGAACATAAGATAAATCTGGTCTTTCTAAGTAAATTTGAGGTTGTTTTAGAGCTTAGGGAGTTGAAATACTTCAAGGAATAAAATATTTGAGGTGAATAGTTGCTAAGGGTGAAATTTGGAAATTTTAGAAAATGGTTATATATAGAGACTTAGGATTATTTTTAGTCCATGCATTGAAATTGATGAGGGAATCAAATTCAATTTTTCATCCATTGATTTTTTTTTTTAAAAAAATTACTTTCTTTACTAATATTCTCATCCACCATTTCTCATAAAGATAATGAGAATAATTATAAAGGGAATGAGCTCCCGAAGCATGCAAACAACAAGACAAGACTTTAGAGGGCCCAAAGGTCCAAATATGCTAATTTTAGAAGACTGAAACGGACTGTTCCAAAACTGGAACGGGTCGTTCCCAATTTGGAACGGGCCGTTCC